ATAGGGTAAGGATAAGGGGTAAGGAGTAAGGGGTAAGGGTAAAGGAAAGGGTAGAGGGTCAAGGGTAAGGGTAAAAGGTAAAGGTGAACACAAAGCGTAAGGATTTAAAGGTAAGGGTAAAGGGTAAACACAAAGGGTAAGGATAAAGGGTAGGGAATACGAGGTACAGATAGAGGTTGGGTCCTTTATAAACATGGTCTTTCTGAAGTTCTGAACCTTAGTACTGCTATAACTGCCAGATCTTCGCATCAGTAGAGAAAGGGTAAGCATAAAGGGTAGGGATGAAAGAGGAACATAGCATCTGTTGGATCCTTTGCCTCAACTGTTTAGCTTCTATGTTTATGTATATGCATATTACGCAATGATTGTTATCGATCTCAATGTTTCTGACCAAGCTGTCAGTTATTCCCCTTTTATTCAATGTGATTTTTTGTACTGGCAGGTATTCCTCCTGGGTACATCTGTCACAACTGGCTGGATCTATCAGGAGGAGAGAAGGATGCATACACAGATGGAGGGACTGTGTCAACATGGAGGCTTGTTCGCTGCGAAAATGGTGAGAGAATTTCCGGGCAACATGTGATGAACAAAACCCTGACATGATTTTGGATTGATTCACAATTTAATTATACCCATAATGTATTGATGTTACCTCACATGAAGTGTATGCGTGAACTTTCATCAGAGTCATGTTCCAAATTTCAATAAGTATATACTGTATAATAAAATTGGAATTAAAAAAAAAAAAAAAGATTTAATTGCCAGGTTACCAGAGTGGCCCATGAGCACTTGCCTGGCCGGGCCAAAAAAGAATAAAAAATTGAAAACACAAAATTTTATTAATATTACTTATTTAATATTTAGTATTTTACTGTTTATTATTTGGCAAAGAATCTCCATGTGGTCCTGAGGCAAAAGTTGTCCAGTTTGTTTTTCTGCTGCACAACATAGTTTTTTTTTTTTTTTTTTTTTTTTTTTGTTGGCACTTGTTGCAGGGACCTTCCGTGACCCTTGCTTGGCGAGGCCACCCGGGCAACCAAGCTGACCCGGGTGGCCCTGTTGGTAACACAGTTAAATTGTGTTTTCTGATTTTCTAATGGGATTTGAAAACAGATATGTTTTCCGATTTTCAAGTGCAGTTCGGAAATAATTTCCAAGGGCAAGCACATCTCAGTCGAGGACCAAGTTTCGAATAGCGAACAAAAAACACATTGGCAGGTCTGTCATGGCCTAAGGTCGAAAAAGCACTTAAACCGCTACCGTCTTCGCCCGAAAAGAACGCCCGGTAATTATCGCCGTATCTGGGCTGAAAGTTGTGCCAGATACAGCTAGAATGACCAGGCGTTGTATTCGGGTGAAGACGGTAGTACACGGCCCCAGCCTTGCAGAAAGTTTTTGTCGCCACAAGCAAAACTCGGAGGCGCCGCGCGGCCAGGCCCGCCTTTAAGAAAAAAAATAGGCAGCCTCCGAAGTGGGGCGGGTTTCATGCTGACACCCGCGGGCCGATATGTGGTGTACTGGTGCTCGAATACACAAGCCGACGGCTCAGACAGGCGTGGTGCTGTGTAATGGAAGCGGCAAGCTGCGGTGTGCAGAGGGTCTGAGTTAAAAAAGGCAGAGAAGACATAACGCCATTTTTGCTTTTCTTGCCCTTTCAAAACTCACACCGCGACCAAACTGCTAATTTTTGTTTCGTTTTGCCTTTTGAAACTGAAAACCTAACACGGCCGCAGTTGTTTCCAAATTCAAGATACTATAATATCTATTTGGACTTCTTGGATTGTTTCAATTTATTTGACTATAAGCTCACAAAGGCTCATTCATACACTAAGAAGGAGGAATTGATCTGAGGGAAGCCCAAGTAATATGTGTATCGCTTACAAGAGCGAACATTTTCTCTGTCAGTAGGCCATGCTTTGGTCACTTCAATTCTGAAAATGAAGAAGCAACTGATACGCAAAAGATCCTCATGCTTCTGTTGCTATTTTTACTGCAGCGATACGCAGAAGATCTTCTTTTTTTTTTCATATATTTTTTTTAAAGTGCAGTCGTCTTAAGATATCATCGTGGAACGGTGGAACTGACTGGGCCCACCCCAGGTAATTCAAGACTTCCGTTCATCTACCGTCTTCACCCGAATACAACGCCCGGTCATTATAGCTGTATTTGGCACAACTTTCAGCCCAGATACGGCGATAATTACCGGACGTTCTATTCGGGTGAAGATGGTAGTTCCATTCTGATTCAAACTCAGGTCTGCATTTCGACAGATCATTCGTGTACCAACAACTGAGGTAGGCACGCCGGTGCGCAGAAGACAGTACATACACTTGCTTCGCTCGCTTGTTTTGCGCAACAGAAGTCCCCAAAGACATCCATCTACGGTGAAGTTTTTTGCGCAATGGGAGTCCCTGCGTTTTGCGCAAGTTTTGCACATCGATGGTACGCTTGCTTTTGTATAAACAAGCGTACTCCTGGTACTTTTCCTTTTTCTTTGTTAAAAGGCAGTAGCCCCTAATCTTATTATCCTATCCATCCATATGACTCCAGCAGGATTGGAAGTCATGACCTGTTTATTAACAGTTGCATGTGTGTACTATGTAGTGTATACAATTCAGCCACAGGGGCTGGTGTCTTATTCCCTGCGCTTTGTCTGCTCCTTTTTCGCATTTCTTGCCTCTCTTTTTTTGTTTGTTTGTTTGTTTTTTTTCCCTTTTGCCCTCTTCTCCCATCTCTTCCCACTACTCATCTCTCCCTTCTCCCATTCTCATTTCCTACCATCCTTTTTGATGTTTCTGAGCGCTCAGCTCTCACCTAATTGCAGGTTCGTCGAACTTTGTTCATATTCCTCCCCCAAAGAAAGTTTAATTTTGTGCTATTTGCTTCTCTATAAGATTCTATAGACTCTATAAGAGTCTATATGCTATTTGCTTGTTGTGCTATTTGGGAACTCCTTGTGCTATTTGCTTCTGTGTTTCTTGGTTCCCTTCTACAGGGCATGCAGCTCTGTTTGGGAAACTTAGTGTTTCATGCTATTGGCATGCATGATTCTTTTTCCATCTTTTTCATAACTTAGTACTAGTTAGTAGTAACGTAGTACTGCACAGTAGAGAATGTTAGCAAGCCCATGTGGGTAAATGCGACACACATGGAACTGTTAGTAAAAAGTTAAGTAAACAGAATCCTGATGGAATCAGATGAACCGGAGTAGCCATGCTGACGACGGGCGGTGCCCTTCCATTGGTTGGTGACTGACCAGCCGAAGTTTCACCTGTCTGTTGGCACCTACCGGTCAGCACTCTGCAGGGAAAAAAAAAGTGAGAACCCCCCCCCCCCCCCCCCCCCACTTTCCTTCCCGCTCCTTACCCTCGCCTACATTAACATATCCCCGCCCCCCCCTCCAGCCCCCTTCCCCAACATAGAGGTTCCTCATCGGATTTTGGGCTGTACTCAGCAAGCGCAGTACGGCTGCAAACCCTCGAACTCAGATTTAAAAAAGAAAAATTAGTGGATGGCCTGCTAGCGACCGGTCAGCAGACTCCCTACTAGTCGGCCTTACTAGTAGGTTGCATAACAGTCGGCCGTCGCGGTCGGTGTTTGGCTGGTATGCAACCCTGAGATGAACACCATAAGGTCACAATGAAAAAAGAGGTTAGAAGTACTTTTTAATATAAATTAAGAATGCTCTACAGTCTACCTCTACTGAAGTCTACTGGCATTTCTCACGCCCTTGCTCTTTTGGGGCCTCTGTATTTGCTGCAGGTCTGCGATATTTCTCGGAAATCTCAGAGTCCCCAGGTTTGTTTAAGGTTGTTCACTTGAGCTCTACCGTACTTGTTCTGTCTATCTGTTTGTTTGTTTGTTTGTTTTTTTGTTCTCCTCCTTGTTTGATCTCAAACCACAGGGTAGCTTTGAACAGCTTGAAGGAGATACAGAATACCATGAAACCGTCCTCTCTCTCTCTCTCTCTCTCTCTCTCTCTCTCTCTCTCTCTCTCTCTCTCTCTCTCTCTCTCTCTCCTTTTTGACATAGAGACGCTGTTGAGGAGGCAGGAATGGCAGCGGATCTAACAAACCTTAATTTTTATAAGGGACACCAGGCCCGTTTCCTGGTAGGTAAAGTAAATTTGGATGTTGTTTACCAAAGCTACCTTATATCAAGTTATATGAAAAACAATGGGGGTGAAGCAGTGAGTGAAGTTGAATCATAAGAACGATTGCAATCGGCGTGCGGCAATGGTGAATGGGAGTGTGTTCAGTTTTCTTTTTGTTGGCCAGAAGGGGGGGAGGGGGAGGGGAAGGGGATTGTCCCATGTAACCACTGGTGGGCAAACAATGTTTATACGGACGGGCTGACTTTGGGTAGTGGCTTAGCCCCTGAGCTTCTCCTTTTTCTTTTTGTTCAGAAAATAATGATTCAAAATATGACAATTATGTTATTCTGTTTGTCAACTTTGTCTACTTTCATAGGGAATTCAAACTCAGGTCTGTATTTCAACGGTTGAGTCCTCCTACCGCCTTCACCCGAATAGAACGCCCGGTCATTATAGCTGTATTTGGCCCAACTTTCAGTCCAGATACGACAATAATTACCGTGCATTCTATTCGGGTGAAGACGGTAGCTCGACTGACCACCATGGTTATTTTAGGCTGTTACTGGCTGCTTGCCTTGTGTATTCTTTCCATTTCATTCCACCAATCAGGTTTCGAATTCACGATCTGTTTCCTAAGTTCTAGCGGCTAGATGTGTGTGCCATCGGTCACATACATGCACTGAGCTGGCACAGGCTGCTTGCCTTGTGTGTCCTCAACAGATGCGAGAGCAACAATTCCTTCCCGCAGTGCCGTTTTATTTTTTTGTTTCGCTGGAGTCGTCTTGGGTGGTTGGTTTGTCCTTGCAGAGGCACTATCGACTCCGACAGGCTTTTCACACTGACAGCTGACATCATCCTTTCTTGTAATGGTGATGCCCCTCTCCATGCATGCAGTTGCCGGTTATGAAATCTGTGGGGGTGGTTAAAGCGGCACCCTCAGAAGTCTTCGATCTCGTGATGAGCTACCGGAAGGAGAGAATGATGTAAGTCCGGTCGATCAAACTCTCAGACACGCATTGATGTTTGCCTGGGATGATGAGTGAGATGGATGGAGCGAAAGAACTGCTCATGGCGTAGTAGAGTTCTAGAGTTTGAGTGTCGAACTGCACTAAAACATTCTTGATCTGCATGTTCTCCTGTACTTGCTGACATTTATCCAAAAGATCAATGGCCTAGGCTCATTTGCTTGAACGTCATTCGAGAGCGGGCCTGGGGGGAGAGGAAAGGAGAGGCAGGGGGTGGGCCTGCGTGGCCTGCAGCCCGAGCTGGCTAAGCAAAATTCCACACCAACCCCTGGCCGCTTCCGGTCGGGAATGGCCAGGAGAGGAGAGGGGAGGCAGGAAGATCCCCCTGCTATTTTTCTCAGGGGACTACGTGGCTCATAATCCAGGGCTAGAATGTATCATCCAACAGGACATGTGCTAGATGTCCCAGGGCCCACGGCAATGTCCCAAGGCGCGCAAGCGAGATATAAATCCTCATGAAACCCAGAAAGGTATATATAAATTCTCACGAAACCCAGAAAGGTATATATAAAGTCTCACACAGGTTAACCGGTCCACGGCAATGTCCCAAGGCGCAAAAGCGAGATATAAATCCTCACGAAACCCAGAAAGGTATATATAAATTCTCACGAAACCCAGAAAGGTATATATAAATTCTCACATAGGTTAACCTCCTCAACTCTAGGAGTGTATTCATCCCCTTCTCCCTCGATTATGATCGAATCACCAATGATAAAGAGTATGAACCCAGAAGAAACCATCCTAGCAACAGTACAGGATGGGTGTGGCAACACACCCAACCAGCAAAGCATAGGGCTTCAGTCCCTATACAAGACTATTCTGTCAAACTAGGGTACAATTTATTTCCCAAGACAAAAAGACCATGGTTACGGCGAACCCAGGCTGGCCTGACGTGTGGAAAAATCTGGACGTAAAAGGGGGGGGGGAGGAGAAGAAAAGAAGAATAAGAATAAGAATAAGCATAAGAAGAAGACGAAGTCTCAGAAGGTTCCCAAACGGGGTTTGAATTGGGCCATACGTACGTTAACCTCGTCAAGGCAGGATCCAACCTGTACACCTCTGTCTGTCTCTCGGTCGGTCGGTCGGTCGGTCGGTCGGTCGGTCTCTCTCTCTCTCTCTCTCTCTCTCTCTCTCTCTCTCTCTCTCTCTCTCTCTCTCTC